AACTCCGCTTAACAAAATGTAAACAATCACACCAGCGCTCCACACATCTGATTCAGGACCATAACGCTTTCTAAGAACTTCTGGAGCTACATAATATGGACTACCAACAACATCTGTAAAAACCTCATCTGCAAAAGTGAAAAGAAAATGAATTCCAAACTCAAACATAGATGTTGTAAATTGAATGTGATCAAAGACAAAAGGAAAACCTGGCTTAAAGAACATCGAGAGTCCAAAGTCGATTGTTTTCAAGAGGGAATCTTCCTCTTTACTAACAAACAGAAAATTCTCGGGCTTGAGGTCTCGATGCATAACACCAAGAGAGTGGCAAGTCTCTAAAACGCCAACAATGGTTCTCGCGAGCTCAGCGGCTTTCCTCTCAGTGTAATGTCCACGTTGAATAATCCTGTCGAAAAGCTCACCACCTGAACACAACTCCATCACAAGGTGTACAGCCACAACATCCTCATAAGCTCCTTTAATGGATATAACATTTGGATGACCAGCCAAATGATGCATTATCTGAATCTCTCTTCTAACATCTTCAACATCCTCATCTGTCAAAAGCTTCCTCTTGGAAATAGACTTGCACGCATACTCGTTCCCTGTACCTTTTTCAAGGCATAAAAACGTCGTCCCAAACTGCCCTTGTCCAAGTTTCCTTCCCAATGAATAGAACTCCTTAAAGTTTTCAGTTTTCCTCTGCAATACTGACTCAGTCCTAAGCCCTGCACTGGACACTCTCCTCATATGTTTAGGCTTCTGAGGTTCACCTTTCGTCTCCGGCTTGGTTTCAGACTTTGCTGTCTCAGGCTGAGATTCAGACTTTGCTTCTGGTTTTGTTGTCTCAGGCGAAGATTCAGACTTTGTTTCTAGTTTTGTTGTCTCAGGTTGAGATTCAGACTTTGTTTCTGGTTTTGTTGTCTCAGGCAAAGATTCAGACTTTGTTTCTGGTTTTGCCATCTCCGGCTTGGATTCAGACTTTGTTTCTGGTTTTGCCATCTCCGGCTGAAGAATAACCTCCCGCTTTCTTTCTTCAGGTTGGATCTCTGCATCGTGTTTCGATTTGGTTTCGGTTTCAGGATTGGACCTTGGGTTTGGCATTGTGACCGGCTCAGGGGGTTTATTCTGAACTTGATCAGGTAATGGTCCTGAGGCTGCTTCTTTAGCAGCATCTCCATTACTATGGGAAGAAGAATTAGCTTGATCAACACCGATCCGTGGCCGCCACATTGCAGCCGAAACAGTTTGCAAGAAACCATTTCCAGAAATGTTAGGTCCTATGCAAGCATTACCCATCAAAAAATACCTCTCTACTTAAAAATAATCCTAAATCAACTTCTCCAGATTCGCATTCAAGCTTTCCACATCAAGATCTCATTCCTAATGTAGTAAAAAGTCAAATCCCTCACAAACTAAAACTTGATTTTCTTCTCCAATGGCAAATCGGACATCATCAAAACTTGATCACTCCGAGATCAGGCAAATGATATGAAACAAGCAAAAACCCTACTCGGGTCGATCATGCAGTAAATGCAAAGAACAAGTCTTTCACAATAACAATCAATGGCCAAAAAAACAAAAATTCACAACAAAAGTCACGAATTTTCACAAGGGTGACGAAGAAATTGAAAATTCAAAACGAACCCAGAACAGAGAACGATGCAATGAATCGAATCAAGAAAATGGAAAATTATCTGAAAACAAAGAGATCTGGGATTGAACAGAACAGATTCTATTTCTTTTTTTTTTGGGTTTGGTCGGAAAATAAGCGAGGGAAAATCGAGGGATGGGTTAATAGCACTACATTTGCATAAAACCTTGTAATCTTATTGTATAGTTTTGGTTAATAAGTCAATTATGAAGAAGATGATGAAGGTGAAGGAGATGATTGAACGAGGTTGAAAAATCAATAACGCGTTTGGGTTTAATCACCACCGAATTTTGCGCTCTTATTGTCTTAAATATATTTTTTTTTTTTATTTCTAGTACCCAGGATCAGCAGGCGATGATAGATCATAGAATAATCAAAGAAATTTCATTTTGTCAATTTCTCTACTAATCCACTATCTTAATAACATGATAAGAAACATAAGGGGATTTTAACTGAAACTGATCGTTGTTAGTTACAAAAAGGTAGTAGAAACGAGACAAAACAAATAAAACCAAATATAATTGTTTCTCATGCAAAAACCAACGAAGCCAAAAAAAACCTACCGGTCTTAAGATTGTAGTGCCTAACTTGAGTTTCCATACATCCTCTTTAGCTTCTTCCATTGTCTTTGACCATAAACAACACTCTGGTCTCTCAACGAAGGAAGAAAAGTTTTATATGATCTGCAATAACTAACCGGATATCGCTTTGTAGCCTTCCTTTTCCAGTAATTTGGCCAAGGAGTTGTCTCCGGTTTTAATGATTCTTCCATTCTCCTGAAACCGAGCAACATACATGAATCACCGGTACCAAAAAACAAAAAACAAATCGAAGTAAATCTCAGGTCTTGGCCAAAAAAACCAATCTCATATGATCTTTGTGGAACCAGTAAAGAAGGCTGGCTTAACAACGGTACTCACCATGATGTGTATAAGAGTTGGTTTGATGTAGTCTAATAGGCGTTGATAGTGGGTTATCATCAGTACAGAGTTTTTTGGTGTCAAAAGCCCATTCACCGCCTTTGCCACATCTTGAAGAGCATCAACATCCAACCCTGAATCAATCTCATCCAGTATAGCCAACTCGGCTCCAAGGACCTGCAAGGAGAAAAAGACCGTAACAAAACATAGCATTAGTGTTTTGTGACCTCCTTCCATATATTGCTACAAAGCAAGGAGACTTGTAGTGTTCTCATGTTAACAATAAACCAGAAATGCCCACTCCTTGGGAGACAGAACCCAAGATGATATGACTCGATGGCCTCATGCTTAATACCTTACGAGTTACGACTCATGCCAAACCATAATATAAAACATAAGTTCCAGACAAGTTAAAGTTTCCATTGCTTGCAAACAGGCAAACCTACCTACCACATTTGTTTCTTATCATATAAGGTGCTTGTAGCTACGAGAAATAAGGGAAATGGAAGCCATACCGCTAACTGTAGAATCTCGTTGCGTTTCCTTTCACCACCACTAAACCCTTCATTGACATTTCTGTTAAGAAAATCGGTCTTCATATTCACAACTTCAAGTTTTGACACTAGGAGGCTGTAGAACTGCATGATGAGCCAAGTGATATTAGTAAGAAATAAGAGAGAGGGTATGCAATTAGGCGATTTTGCAAGGACCAATTGGCACAGAGGCATACAACAAGTTAGAAAGAATGCAAAATAAATCAAAATCCTCTAAATCGGCAACTCCTATTTGAGTAATTTGGCAACGCACCTGAATTGGATCAAGCTCTGGCTCACTGAGCTTTCTTTTCCGCGCATTGAATGCCATATTCAAGAAATCCATATTGCTAACACCAGGGATCTCAACCGGGGACTGGAAACTCATGAAGAGACCGGCAAGGGATCTTTCCTCTGGTTCCATATCAAGTAGATTCTGCCCTTTAAATACAATACTTCCTCCCGTCACTTCATAATCGGGATGACCCACAAGAACCTACACAGAATGAGGCTCACTGAGATTAAAAAAACAGGAAGAGAACAATTGTATGCAGCATCAAGGTTTATCCTGAGATTATTCTCTTTCCCCTCTGATTTGGGTTTCAAAAGATCATGTCAAAATACAGTCGAAATGCTCACCTTGGAAAACGTGCTCTTCCCTGAACCATTCTTCCCCATCACTGCGTGAACCTATGTGTTCATTAGCAACCACGAAACAACAACCTATGAGGATCAACCAAAATTCCACAAAAGAAGCCATATTTTACAATCTGCAGAAATGGAATTGATCCACAGTTCAAGCTTTCGATATTTCTTACACAAAATTAACCAAAAAACATTAAAATTCACAAGGTCAATGTCTTGTTGACTCATTACTTCTGATCAGATTTCAAACTCAAAACTTTCTCAGACGATGAAGACAATTTCAAAAACCAGGGAAAACTTTCTGGTGACTAAATTCCAGAATCAATCTACGGAAATTCAGTTAGTAATGCATACCTCTCCTTCGTACATAACCAAATTGACGCCTTTTAGTATCTCCTGCCTCGATTCAACAATCACAGCTCTCAAATCCCTAACCTCAAGCAAAGGGATCCTGCCCACGTCATCCCGATCTTTCGTCAACGAATCCGAAGAGGGAGGAAAATCTACGGCCGAGGAAACGGAAACGGTATCTGACCGGCGAGTGGTTCGCAAACTTGAAGCGGCGGCGATATTAGCTCGGAGATTACAGCAGAAAACACGAAAAGGTGAAATTCCGAGACGAACTCTCT